CCCCAAAACCCCAAAACCCCATTTCTTCAAATATAAATTATTAATTGAAAAAGAGATTCTGATAAATTCAATAAATTTCCTATAAATTTTAAATAAATTGATTATTATTTCAAACAGGAATCATTATTTACATAAATAACTTACAAACAAATAAAAACTCACTTAAATTTACCATTTTTCTTTAGTTTCTCAGAAATATTAAAAATGACACATGTCATCATACAACACCTTAGATCTAAACCTGGTTACATCTCATCTATTGGATTTTTTACCTGTGTGATGGGATTTAACTTTTATTATGCTCCCAAAATAGAGAATCCTCAAACCAGATATGCATGTGCAGGAGTATCTGCCACACTCTTTTAAGAGATCTTGATGCATTCTATAGACACCCTTAACATGAAAGCAAAAGCCTTAGATGGTTCCAAGAATTTAACACTGACTCTTATTTGAAAGGAAGGATTATTTAGTTTATATAGAGGAATTTAACCAGTATTATATGGGTATATATTCAGCAGTTTTGTATACTTTTAGATATATGCATCAATGAAGCATAAAATGAAAAACGATATGTACAATTAAAACTCTACTGAAAAAAGTGCTTCTGAAATTTAAGATGGAAAATCTAAAGCTATCTTTTATTAGACTATGTTTATAGCCTTTTTCAGTTCTATAATCGCTGAATTAGTGTCTTTGGTCTTTTATTACCCCTTTGATCTTATTAAAACTAGAATGTAAGTTGACTAAAACTTCTATTGATATAGAGGTACTCTAGATGCTTTTATGAAGATTTATAATGAAAAACAATACTAGGAATATGGTAAGTTTCTTCAGAGCTCTCTTAAGTTCACAAATTTCTTTAAGGGAATGTTTCTTTACAGCTTGACATATGCTACTTATGTTGCGTTTTCATTCTCACTTTTTGAATCATTTCTACTTTCTATTGAAAACTTTAGAGAGGAGTTGAGATTGAAAAAGCTTCAGGATAAAATAAAAAACTTAAAAGATCAAAATTAAACTTTAGATGAAGAATATTTAATCAAACTAAAGGAAGAATATGGAATAATAGAAGGAAAGAAATCGATTGAACATTCCAGGGTTGACATAGTATTAGCATCATTTACGTCAGGATGTATCGCGGGTCTTATCACAAATCCAATTGAATATTTAGCAGTTAAAAAATAAATCGATGAGAATTTTTCAATTAAAAAAGCATTCTAACGCAAAGGAATCGTTTATGACATGCTAGTTAGGGGTAATCTTCTTAGATGTACATACAATGGGCTCTCCTCTATAACATTTTTCCTGTTTTTCTAGGAGTTATGTCTTCCAATGAATGTGGATATTACGATGTATGATGAATGATCTTGAAAAATACTGCTAATCATTATCGTGAAATTCAAGTCAAGATTTAAAGCTTGAAATACCTAACAAAAAGTTACTTAATCCTATATCAATAGCATTAATTTTTAACCATATATTTCTCAAACTTCAATTTCTTTTTATGGGGTTTTGGGGTTTTGGGG